AAATTTTACATTTTCATAATAAAATAAGTCAAAATTTCAGCATCATCCGATTTCAGCATCATCCCCGACAATAAATAATAATACCAAACAATTTATTTCATTCTCTAATCCAAACCTCAAAGCTCTAATTTTTTCTGATTTGTTTCTGTTAGGTCGAGGTCATTATGAAGATATTAAAAAGCTTTTAAACTTTTAACCATCGACTGATAGTTATAAAAAATATATTAAACTGAGAATGTTATGTCCTGACTCTCGTTTTCGATTACATTGGTATTGGCCTTACTGGTCATATTTAAATCTTGAAAAAAAATGCAATTTTTAAAATCAATATAAACTATTAGCAACCCAAAATATTAACTGCGAACACCATCCAACACAAGCAGATTTAATTACTAAAAATTCCTATGGAAACTGGAATATACTGAACAAATCTAAAACAATAACACTATATTCAAATTTGAGAATAGCCACTTCTTTTTTTAAAAAAAACAACTTCAAGTTAATACTATATTAAGTACATATGGTTAACCTCAATTATTTCTCACCTTGACCATGGCCAAAGACAAGTGGTTACACCTAACTACAATTCTATGCTTTACCGATAATAATGATACTATTCTAACTAATTGCCTGTTATATGTATACAGTGTTGTACATTTTGATTGTCCAAAGGCTTTTTTGGTACTGTCCAATGTCCAAATGTCCAAGTGTTCACAAGTGTTCAAAGCATATTCAAGCTTTAATAATTAATAAATTTGTTTAAAAAATATATAATTATATATTTTTTTATGTGCTGAACATATTTTACTTAGAAATTAATATAGATTATCTTAATAAAATTTGAGTAATTTTAAGTTATTTAATTGTCCAAAATTGTCCAAAGTGTCCAAACTTACTGTCCACAACTGTCCCATGACAACACTGTGTATATTTATATTATCGAAACCATTTAAACAATATTTGTAAAAAATTATAGAAAAATCTTAATTTAGTTCAATGGTAACAATAGTTACATTATTTTGAACATGATGAATTTCAAAACAGAGGAACGATATATACCTATAGTTTTGCTTATACTGAAAAAAATATCCCAGAACTTATCTTACTAAATACTATCCGTGCAGACATTCCTAACCCTAATACTGAACCTGATTTATATAATCTAGTAACTAAATTTCAAATACATTACTGCAATCAAAAATATAGAAATTAATATTCTAATAATATACAATGCTCAAAAGGTTTTTCTCAACCCTTATCTAATACAACCCATTATTCCCCCAAACCAACTATGCTATGTTTATCATTGTATTAAAAAAGACAAATACATCGTCCTGTACCATCCCAAAACATTGTTTATTTGATATGTACACATAAACTTCCAATATATTACCTCAACCAGTTTTGCTAAATATATTACAAAATATATAATGAAAGCAGAACTGTCTGAATTATTTGAAGTTGATAAACCAGATAATTATCAAAAACACGTATTAGCATGAAGACTAGGCGCAATGAAGTTGATAGTACTCTTATTACAGTATCCTCTAATGAGATGTTTGATATCAGTACAATATCTTCCCTTTGCACCCTCTGAACTGCGTTCCCGCTCCATTAAACCTATCTATTTACTAAACAATATTTTAAATAGTGATAACAACCAAGATGATCAAGAAAACCATGAAAATATTCTTTACTGGGACAACACAATCGACAAATATTTTGATCATCCTAATTATAAAACTTTTCTCAATCTTACCTATCCCAAATACCACAAAAACTATATGATTAAACCTACTCCACCTGGCTCTTGCTCAAATTTATTTTACATATGAGACCGTAAAAACAGAATAATAGTTCAAAGAAAACACTCATTCTTTTACGCTTTATGACTTATAAAGTAGAAGATGGCAACCCTTTTTTTTACCAACACCTTATTATGAAAATCTCTGCAAGATCGGATAGACTTATTAGGAGATTACTTTACTTTTAAAGATCATTTCCAAGCTATGTTTCTCATAAAATATAATGAAGTAATTAATCAACTTCGTAAAAGTTATCTTAAACAAAAAATGATTTGTTAACTTTATATACCTCATTGCTAATTTTACTTCTATCTAACTTTTTCAACCAAAATCTAACAGACCTAATATTCGATCAATTGTTATCTTTAGAAAAACATTGTCCTCAACTCAATACCATGTCTTTCTTATCTCTTAATAATGAACAATATAAAATTTATAGCACCCTTTGTAACACGTGGGGTAAATTTTACAACAAAAAATACCCTTACTTCTTTTTAACAGGTCCTGCAGAAACTAGCAAAACTTTTATAACATTCCAAATGATTCATTTTTTTATATCAAAAAAAACTCTTCTATTTATCACCCTTACCATAGTATTAGAACAATATAACGCCTATTAGTAAAATATCACGAGGAACATTGTTAATTAAGCCGCAGAAGGTGGTTTTCTAAAAAAAATGGGTTCGTTTCGATTTTTATGTTACACCTGATCCTGGTCAAAATTACAGGGGGTGAACAATTTTTTGTGGGAGAGCTAGGGGCGTCTCATCGAGGAAACAATTATAGGTAAGGATAGGAATCGATTTAGTCGACTAAAAAATTTATATGTAAATTACTATGTTTAGTCGATTTAGTCGACTAAATCATATAGCCGATTCCTATCCCTAATTATAGGTTTTCTGCCTCTTGTGTAAATACTTATGATGCTTAACAAACATAAGCATTTGCTTTTTTGCTTAACTAATTCATTTCTGAGTGATATGACAAAAAATCAGACTGTTTTGCATTTCTATCGCTATCTAAAATTATGGTTGTTGTCTAGATAAGTTAACAAAAGATCATGGTTGTCGTCCCAAGAGCTATATGTGAAGGTCGGGCTAATATAAAAAAAACATATTATATGGAAAGAAACGCATTCCCTTTAAATACATCCTAATATTTTAAAAAAAAAACTTTGGAATTGAATTTAGACCAAAATTATTTGATTGTTTTTGTTTATAAACCATACTTAAGAATTTGAACATTTAACAATTTAAATTATTAATATTTAAACATTTAATCATCTAAACTATTAAGCATCTCTTCCACTTTTTTAATTCTCATAATCAAAGAGCTTGCATTATAAGGAAATAATTGTTTATCCATTAGCGATTGTATAATCTCTCTAAGATTACAAAATACTTCATTTACTTGATTTATAGTGTCTAAATCCGTTTCCATATTATCCACAGTATTTGGTTCAAAGTTATTTTTATAATTTATTTTGGAAATCTCCTTATCAAACTTATCACATTCCATTCGAAACTCTTCAAAATTGTGATCTAAATATCTACAATACGTAATAAAAAATTCTAAAAATCGAGTTTCATTAGATATCAAAAAATCTAATATTGTAGAATGTTCGAATCCAATTGATTGTAAAAACTTGAGGAATATTGTGTGAGGGTACAATATTGAAAAAATGGTTCGAAATGAGACAATATAGTTTCTAGAAACCACCTAAAAATATATATATAAATCATTAATTAATATGTATAAACTATTATATTAATATTAAAAGATAATCAATTAAACTAAATAAAATACTTTATTTCAGTTTCGTTAGTAACATTGATTACTTCCGCTAATTTGGCCAGTTTTTTTAACTGTGCTGATAATTGCAATACACTATTCATAAAATTTATAAGATCATTGTCATTATTAACATACAAGTTGAACATGCAATCCACTAGTTTCATCGAAGGTTTAAAGTCTAAAATAACCAAAAA